AACCTTATTTCCTCTCTAGGCTCAGTTTGCCATGGGCAACATGAGTGTGTTGGACTAGATCATTTTCCTTTAGAACAAGTAATAAAAGATGCTAACTTCTCAAGTTGACCTGGAAAACTCCTTCCACACTTTGGTCCAAAGAACTCCTACCTATCCTTCAATGCCCAGGGCAAATGTCACTGCGTCCATCCATCAAACCTTTCTGAGTTTCCCCAACAAAGTCAGCACGCCCATCCTATGCTACCACAGCAATTTACCTGACAGAGCCTGACCTGGCACGGGCTGTTTGGAGTTTGAGTGCACTGGAGGCTCAGAATTCTTTGGTAGCAGGGACACTGGGCTGGAATATCCTAGTATCACACAGTGCCTGGCCTAGGGTAGCCAGATAGATGAGTGAAGAATGAATGTGGGAGTGAGTGAGCGAATGCTGTATTCATCAAGTTCACTCCTGTAAACATCTGTAACCAGAGTGAAGGACAGCAGAGGCCTCGTTTGGTATCTGGAGGGGAGCTTTGGCTGTTCCGCTATCTTAGTCCTGGGCCCACAACAGGCTGGGCAATGATGGGTACCTTGGGGGGCACAGCTGCTCAGGGGGGGTCCTGTCTCCAAGCCACCCAGTGTTGGTTCTCCGCTCTGCTGAGGGTGGATGGTGGGTGGACAAAGGCTTGGAGTTGGGGCAGAAGGCAACTGGGTCTAACTAGCAGAAAGCTCTCCATAGACTAACTGTTCTAGAAAGCTGGGTATATCCTGGCTTCCTGGGGGAAGGGGACAGGTTGGCTTCTCCAGCCCAGAGAGCTATGACTGGGACTAATTGGCTTGCCCTCCTTCCGCTGCTAGAGAAAGTCTTGGCTAATCTGCCAGAACACGCTAGTTAAATGCCAATTAGGATGTTCTGTCCACTGCTCTCTTCCAATATATTAATAATGTAATTAAGCATTTATTGCCTGTGCAAATTAAAAATTAACTTAAACAGACAGCCTGGAAAACTGAGGAAGTGACCGCTTAAACAACTAATTTGCATCTTGTTTGATTATCAACATCTGAACCATCTAGGATATGGCCTTCCAGTGAGGGAGTCCGGCCAGCTGCCAGCAGCTGCTGGCCTCATCTCCATGCTTGATTCTGCCCCTTCCATCCTGCCCTAACCTTAGGTGTGGAGGGCATGACCTTGCCTCCTGATGGGCAGGAGGACTTTCTGCTAAGAGGTCACCTTGACTTCCAGTGTCCCTACCCCCTTTCTCTGGGGGTACGTGGTGTGGATTTCAGTGAAAGAAGATGCTACTGGGGGTGACTGGGGGCAGGGGGCAGTCATTGAAGCCTCTGCCACTCCCACCCCACCATCAATTTGTCCTGCATTCCAGCCTGTAAGATGGGAAGCAGATGGTGCTAGAGTGGGGAGAAGAGGTACCCAAGGAGCTAGGAGACCTTCCCCCCAAGCAACCCCCTAGAGAGATGGGGACTGGCAATATCCACGATGTAGAAGATAAAAAGATAAAAGGATAATGCTTCATCTCTGTCCCCAGGGAGCTGCTAACATGACAGGTGTAACTAGGCTGGGTTTCTTCTCCAAACAGCCACAGATGGAACTTGGCAGAAAGGAACAGGATGGCAGGGAGCAGGGCAAGGGGGACTGGAGAGCGTCTGGGGGCAGCTCTGGGGCCTCTGAGCTCTGGAGGGCAGGGGACTGTGGCCAGCCTGGGCCTGCTGCCTTCTGCCTCTCCACTGTTGGTCCTCACCTGTCAGGCCTCAGGTCCTCGAGGGCGTCTGCCTGCGCCTGAAGTCAACCTCCTGGCATTGCATCCCGCCTCTCACCGTGTCTCCACAGTGATGGTTCAGTGGTGGCCCGTGAGCTTGTGGGTGAGGCCGCAGGTGGGATCTTCATATTTACCCTGCAAGATGGTGACTTCCTGGGGCCCTATGCAGGGGTCTCCAGCAGGGATTGCCGTCACCTTCCTGGAACCATGGGGTGGCTACAGGGAGAAGGCGCCCTCTCCTTCATTGCCCCCACACCTCCAGCCACACCCTGCCCCTGCCCCCACAGCAGGGAGAAGGGTAGAGAGGAGCGACTCCAGGCAACCAGGACTGTTTTAAACACTTTATTTATAAAAAAGTACATTTTTTTTCCTCAGTACATTTTTCAACCCATCATTTTTTTTTATACAAGTAAAAGGGGGTGATGCAAACACCCCCAGAGTCAGAACCAGGAGAATCTGCTGGGACGTCCCCAGGACCAAAGACAAAAGGGTGACGAAAAAACTGAAGCAAAGATCGTGTATCACACTCAGAGGCGAGGGGTGGCAGCTTCTCCTGGATTTTGTTTCCATTGATACAAAAAAAGGAAAACCATGTTTTACCGGCCAAGGATCCCATTCGTCAGAGCTGGAGTCGGAAGAGCAGCAGCACCAGTGGGGGTTGGCTCCTCTGGCCTTATAATTGGGTGATGGCTGTGGCCACAGGCCCCAGAAGCCCTTGCTGCCTGGACCATAGCACAGAGGCCTGCCTCCTGGGCACCTGTGGCCAGAGCGAGGCCCCCTGTGGGCAGGGAGCCCTGGGGGGGGGCCACCTGCTCCTCAGTAGGAGGGTGGGTGCAGGACTCAGAGGTCTCTATCTGCTCCCCCTACTCCCCACCGACCCCCGAGAGTGGTCCTCTTTTCCCTCTTGAGTGGCCCACACATCCACCTCACATAGTTCCGACCCCTCCGCTTGGAGGAGGGCAGGAGTATTATTGCACCAGTGACTGGGGCAGAAGGGAGGGGGTTGGCAGAGGGCACACAGCCGAGAAAGAGACATCGCCGTTTCTCTCTCGGGGCTTCCCGCAGGCCCAGACCATTCCTGTCATGTGTGTGTGAGTGTGTGTGTGTGTGTGTGTTTTCTGTGCTTGGGACTGTCTCCGGGCAGGTATGTGCCCGGGCTGGGCCTTGCGCGGCTGTCTGTCCCAACTGTGTGCTGCTGCTGTTCTGATCCTTCTAATAAAAGGGGACTCTGGTTCTGTTACACATTAGAACAATATCAAAATCTTAAGGAAATAGGGGTACAGGTGACATGGCGGAGGCGAGGACACGAGGGCAGTGAGAGGCAGGCTGATAATGGGGAGGCCTTGGCACTCTTCATACCGAGTTTATTTCATTTCCAGCAAAGGCAGAAGCTCAGCTCATGCTGGGGGCATGGAGGAGAAGCAGAGTCCTCATCTCTGCTGGGCCAGACCACCCCTGTGTGGCTTGGCTGTGTCTGAGGGCCCAGCAGCCGTGCCCACCTCCCCACAGTCTCAGGACATAGAAAACCCCATCTCCCCAAGCCCAGTGCAACTCCTATCTTGTGCCCACTCTCAGCTCCAGGGCAGTCTCCTTGCCAAGAGCCCCTGACATGACAGAGACACCACAATTTGTGCTTTGCTTTGGGGAAGTGTGTGGAGGTGTCTTAAGGGGGACTCAGTGCTTTGGCTGGGCCCAGGGCCTCCTAAAGTCATATAAATGAGGAATAGGGTTGGCAGTGCAGGATAAGGGAGATATAGGAGCAGAAAATCTTCCGGTCTTATCACTTCAAGGGTACAGAGAATGCCTCTGTCAGGCAGGTCCCTGGGATTTCCTCCTGCCTGGGGGCCAAGGAATCAAGCAGAGGGGTCAGAGGGGCATGAGGTGGGTGGGGCAGTGAAGTAGCATGAATAGGTCCTCTACCCTGGGGGCACTAATACTGTTGGGAGAAGCAGCCCAGCTTCTCCTTCCTCTTCTGCCCTGTGGCTAGAAAGACCCCAGAATTTTCTCCTCCATCTCCACCTCATCCAGTACCCCCAAAGCTAAGAGGAGAGAGCCTCCCCAGGGCTGGCATGGCTTCAGACTTCTGCTACGTGGCTACTGGGTGGCCCGGGCTGGGGCTAGGGCAGCAGGGTCCAGGCCAGGGTGGGCCCAGGAGAGATGGAGCTGGCTGGGGGGATCAATAGCAGCACCAGGTAGGGGGACAGGGCTGACAGGCCAGGGACTCCCTTGGGAAGCCTATGGCAGGGTAGGTCAGTGCCCGTGGGGCACAGAGTGGTCTGCCTCCCTCCCCACCACCATTTGCCATCCCACAAAGCCCCTGACACCCTGGGCTGAGTTCATGGCAATCCTTTTGGGTGGGCATGAACCGCTCTGCCTCTCCCATCCCAGGCGCTTCCCATCTAGAGTGCCGGTGGGGCTAGGGTGGGCAGATGGAGGATCTGAGGCACTTTGAGCTGGGGGAAGTGAGAGAGGCTGGGAGGCCTTCCTCCATTGTACAGATGGGAAGACTGAGTCTTGGGTGGCTGACAGGAGCCCAGAGCCCACTCAGGGAGGAAATTTACAGCTTCTCCAAGGTCCTCCTTGTCCAGAGTGGAGGCTAGGAGCACTGAGCGAGGAGTGGAGGGTGGGTGAGCAGGAGCTTGACTCTGGGGCCCCTGGCCACCCCACTCCATCCCCTTGCACTTCCTGAAAGGCGCGTAACACTGACACTGGTCTTGGTGAGTGAGGCGCTACCTGAACTCTCCCAAGTTGATCAGACCGTGTTTGCTGAGCTTCTACATTTAGACTCCTTCTCCACTGACCCTTCTTCACCTCTAACCCCTGCGGGATTCCCCTCTGGGGTCCTGGCCCTGACTCCCTCTCAGAATCAAGAGTTACTAGCACTTGATAGATAAGGGAGAAACTTGAGAAACTTCCATGCTGTAAGAAGCAGTTTAGGGTCAGCCTGAGATCCTAGGGAGGAGGCACCAGGGAGGCCTAGTCTCCGCTGTCCCTGGAAGCTTCTGAAGGCTGCCCCCATCCTCAGCTGGGAAGGGGGGACAGGTGGAGCGGAGGGGCAGTGACCAGCCTGAGTAAGGCATGTGACCCCAGGGGGAGCGCGGGGTAGACACGGGTAGTATGAGCATGTGTGTGTGCATATGTGTTGCAGAGGTGTATGGCAAGTGTGGGCCAGAGTCCACCTGGAGCCCTGCTAGGTGGGAAGCAGACTAGGTAAAGAGGAGGGACACCCCAGAGCTGGGCCAACTTAGCTCTCTAAAGGCCAATGAGGAAAAAAAATGTAAAACCAACCTGACCAGGAAAATACACTGGCCAGGGCCCCAGGGGTGGACCTCAACTTGGTTCACTTCACGAGCAAGACAACCCTGGGTGCTTTGGAGAAGCCACACCCCACCCTCTGCCTCCCGGGTGCCATGGCTGTGCTGTCAGACCCGGGTCCAAACTCCCCAGCTGCATCAGCGCATGGTAGGTGTCTGGGTCCCTCTCCTTGGGAAAAGAGGAGCAGCTTCTGGGGGTGGGGGGGGGCTTTCCTCCTTGGAGCCCCTTCAGCCCTCTACCCCCAATGGAGGGAACACAAACAAATTCCAGTGTTGGGGGTTGGGCTGGCTCCCCAGACCCTGGAGGGGTGCCCAGGTACACAAGACGAGAGCAGGGCTCCCCCAACGAGGGCAGGTCGGTGGGGGTCAGGGAGGGGAAGGTACAGCAACACCAAAGCCACAGTTGAACACAACACCGGGGGAGAGGGCTGGGAGAGGGGAAATAAAAACAAAGCCAGGTGGGTCTGCCCTGGGCTCCCCGGCTCCCCGGAGGTGGGGGCTGGCTTTGGGCAGCTGGGTGAGTCTCTGTTCAGCTCCTGGAGGAGTGGGGGGTGGGCAGGGGGCGTGCGGGTGGGGACTGGGAGGGGCTGCAGACAGAGGCTCTGGCGATGGGGCTACACATACCACTCCTTCTTGGAAATGAAAGACCCGTCGTTCTGAGAAACCATGTTCTCAGCCAAGTCCAGCTGTTCGGGGTCGTACTGGTAGCCCAGAGTCCGGTCCCCATAGCCGTCCTGACGGGCTTCCGCCTCATCCACTGTGAAGTAGGGTCGCTTGGCGTCCTCATCGTACTTGGGGTGGGGGCCGCCCACCTTGCGCTCGCCCCCGCCCCCGCCCTCCTCCTCCTCTTCCTCTTCGTAGCTGCTCCCGCCCAGGGGGCCGGCCTTCTTCTCGTCGTCTGAGTCGTCGGGGTACTGCAGGTTCTGGGCCATGGGCGGGTGGTGCTGGGGGATGCCCGCCTTGCTGTAGCCGTTGCCGTAGACGTGCTTCTTGGTGCTGTAGTCGCCCTTGAAGGTGTGCCGGCGCCGGCGCAGCGCGATCACGATCCCGCCGACCACGATGAGCACCAGCAGGACGCTGCCCGCCACGCCCCCAATGATGGCGGTGGGCACCTGCCCAGCGCGCTGCCCATGTTGGGGAGGAGACGGGGTGTAGGGGAATTCTGGGTGAGGAAAGAGATGGAGGGGGACAGCATCAGTGTCTGCTCCTGGGGAGTCAGCAGGGAGGGAGAGAGGGCGGCAGGCAGGGGAGGGAATGGTCAGGAAGTGGGCCAGGTGCCAGGGCAGCTCCCGCTGCAGAAACCTCCGAGCACCCCTCTTCTGAGCCCCACACCTGCCACCTGGTAGTTGGAGAAGAAAAAGGCAGAGACAGTGCTGTATCCTCAGTGCTGTCTTTCTCCTGGGGCCTGGGGCCGTCTGCCCTTGATCCAGTCACAGTCACTGTCACGACCCCCAAGGAGGAGGAGCGTCATTGATTCCCAGCACAACAGGTTTAGTAACTTGCCCAAGGCCAGTGACGGAGTTGGTTGTCTTGCATGTAAGGCCCAAGCATAAGGAACAGCTGCCCCCCTGCCTGACACTCGCTGGTGGTAGTGCCCCAGAACCACGCTCTGGCTTCTCAGACTCCGGGCGCCACGTCTGACATCCTCTGTTCTTGGGGAACAGGGATGAACATGGGTTCCCAGGTGCCGACCCTGCCGATGTTCCATGAATGCCTGATGAGCGGGCTGTGGTTCTGGGCTGCGGGGCCCCGTGTGCAGGGCCGGGGGGCTGGAGGCTCGGCCAGGCTGGGCTCTGTGCATGAGGTGCTCAGCACAGCTGTGCAGTGAAGGAGGCAACAGAGTGCCCCACTACACAGACAAGGTGATGGACACACACCCCTGTCACCCCCAGCCGGACGCCATGCCGGTGTGATGAACGTGTGCGTACAGACACGCGCAGAGGAGAGAAGGCCAGGAAGAAGGCAGGAATGGTGGGAAGAAGAGAAAGGAAGTGGGTGGGTGGGAGGAGAGAAGGCTGGGTGCCTGTGGGACTGGTCAGAGTTGTGCCTACTTGGCAGCACTGCCCCTTCCCTATCCTTCCAGGGCCACGCCAGAGGCCAAAGGGGTCCCCAGGCCAAAGGGGTCCCCTGGCCAGGCTGAGGGAGGTGGTTCCCAACACCACCACAGGGTGGCACCGGAGACCACGGCTGGGCATGGTCACGAGGAGTAGGTAGGCTGACCTCAGCTGCTCTCGCCCTCCCCTCCAAAGCCAAAGGTCACGATGGGCTTGGGCACAAGTTCAGGCCTCAGGGAGCAGGTTCCTGCCAACTCACTCCTGATTCAGCACCACTCACTCCATGGGAATGAGGCTCCTCCCGTGAGCACATTCCTCCTCCCAGAGGCGGGGCGGGCCCTGTGTGGGAGCCCATGGGTGCTGCCTGGAGCAGGAGAGGCAGGGCAGGGATTCTAGAGGAAGGGGAAGGCCCCCTAAAAGTTCAGGCTGGCAGGGCTGTTGAGAACTTGGGGCCAGGAAGGGGAGGTGATTTGCCCACAGTCACAGGGCTGAGCTGGGACCACCCAGATGCTTGGTTCCTGGCGCTCCCCAGGCAGCACTGGCAGGGAAGCACAAGCGCCAAGACTCCGCTCCCCACTTGTCACCACTCTGTCCTCAGTGCGGGTCACGCCTGCACTAAATATTTATTGCATATTTTTCCTCATTGCTTACTTCCAGAACCGTCTGCCTGGGATCTTAAGCTTCTCCTGGTTCACCAGGTCCCATCTGTTCGCTGCCTTTCTAAGGGCTGCACACCTGCTCCCCGGGAGGTGGGAACTGCCTCCACAAGGGGTGCCTGGCAGGAACCCAGGCTTTTCAGTGCGTTCAACCTGCCTGCTCCCTCTTCAGTTCTCACCTGAATTTGGCCTCCTCTTTCATCCAGTTCATCCACCCATCTGCCCCACCCCACCCACCTACCTACCCTTCCACTCAACCAGCAAACATGCATCGAGCATCTATCTTGCTAATCATGAGACACAGGAACTCACAGCCTAGCGGGGAAACCAGATGCTCTTACAGACAAAGCAGCCCGCAGACATCCAGGGCGCTGGCAGGGAAGTGGCTCGGGAGTGCAGGGGAAGGAGACTTGCGACCTGCAGCTAGAAAAGCCTTCTTGGAGGAGACTAAGCCACGCCTTGAAGCCAGCAAGGAATTGGAGAGGCCAAGGGGTAAGGCAGGCACCCAGATGAGGGGCCGCCTTTCCTTTCTGACGCGTTGCTCTCGCCTTCCGGTATCAGGGTTCTTGGATCCCCCGCTTTGCTCTCGGGGCTGCTTTGTGGGGGCCCTGTCTCTTTTGGACACGAGGCTGAGGATTCCATCCTTAGACTTCCATCCTTAGACTTACACCCTTACCCTCATTCTGCTGGCACAGAAGGTTAGCGAAAGGACGGGGGGCCAGACACTTTGGGAAATGTTGGTAGGCCAAGCACCAGAGTCCTTCACCTTCTCACATGCTCTGAACTGCTAGAGAGATAGGACAACTGAGGGTCCCCTACCCTCCCTGCCTCCGAGACCATTCATGACTAGTATTTAGGGGTACATACTTTGAAAACACTTCTCTAGCACTCCCACGTGTGGAATTCTCTTCCCAGCTCAAAACCCAATCTAGTTCTCCCGACTCGGTTCCCCAGCTTCCCGCCAAACCCTCTCTCAGCGCCCCCACCGCCACCGCCAGGTCTGCGCTTCCAGCCCAGGTCGCCTTTATTTCTGACTCTGCCCTCAGATCTCACTGACTCTTTCTCATTCGGTAGTGTATTGCTTTATCAGGTTTTATTATGGCAGCAGATTCCCGAATCTCCCTCCTGAATCTGTTCCCTGCACCCACTGCGTAGAAGGCACGCACCCCTTCTCAGAGACTGGCAGCGACTTCCTGCTGCCTGCTGGGCCCTGCCGGTCTGCTCTTCAGAGTGTCCACTGTGTGCACTGTCTTGCGTTTGGCCATCCCTGCCCCTCTCCTTGCTGTCCAGTGGGTTCCTGACCCCAAATCTTTGCTCCTCATTCTGCCAGAAACACCGTCCTCACTTGCTTCTCCCTGTTTTGGTCCTTCAGTCCCTTCCTCGTGAAGCCTTCCTTTCTCCAGCTCACACACATCTTTTTTCTTTAGAATTTTTATGTATTAATGTCCGCGTGGCTCATTCTGGTATAAGCAATCGCTAGCTCCACTCTGTCAATCATATCGTGATGCATAAAGCCTGTGGTAGATAAACAGCCATAATGCACACGAAGACCCAGCATGTTGGGCTCTGGTCCTCCTGCCAGTTTTCCTGCTCATCTCTGCAGGCTCGAGGAGAGGGGCTGAGGAAGTGGCAGCCTCGTGCTTATTTGAGGTTGATTCAATTCTTACACTTATGTACAATATAAGTTCCACTGTATTTATTTTTATGCTTTCTGCAATCGCAGAGACCTGGAGAGAAATAAAGCTCTCCTACGTCTTAGCAGACTAGCCTGAATTTGGGGGGCCCCTCTGATCACAGAGTGATGTAGTTTACTCGATGACCTGTTTTCACCAGAGTGGCTGGTGTCCCGAACTAATCTATAGATCACAGTTCAAAGTAAACCTGGAACCTGACACTCCTTGCCACCTCTTTCACTACCACCCATATCCATGCCACCATCCTCTCTCTCACCTGGATGATTGCAACAGCGGCCTACTGGCTTCTCTGACTCCACCCTCTCCCTCTGCAGACTAGTTTCAACATCGCAGTCACACAGATCCTATTAGGTCTGGAGAGCTCAGAATGTTCTACGTGATCTGTGCCCCCACCCCAACCTCTGACTTCACCCTCCGCTCCCCCCTCGACTCCCTCTGCCGCAGGAGTCCTCAGGGCCTTGGCACGGCTGCCCCGCATGCTCAAGGCGCCCCTGGGTGTGCTGTGGTTCCTCGCTCACCTCTTTCAAGGCTTGGCCCCAAGATCACCTTCTCACTAAGGCCTCCTTGACCACCCATTTAAAAATCAAAACCCATAAGCCCCCACCTCCGAGGTACTCGTGACCCCCTTCCCGGCTTGGCTTCTCTCCATATCACCCTCTTCACCACTACATGATTTTGAAGATGTATTTTATCTGTTGCTTGTTGTTTGTCCTGTGCTAGAATGTAGCTTTACAGGGGCAGGGACTTTGTTGGGCTCACTGGTAAATCCCTAAGTACCTAGCTTGCTTGGCAAGTGGCTGAAGTTCTAGGATTTTTGTTGAGTGATTTCTGTCTAGAGGAGAGATTTGCTTCAGGCAGAGCAAACATTTACGGGACACTCAAATACATGCATGCATGGGTGCACTGTGGACCTCATTTCATTCGATGAGGGTGTGGAGGAGTGGAACTGTGGGGACAGATGTTGCTGGGTCTCCCTCTAACCCTTGTACACGTCCCCCCTGAACCCTAAGGAAGTTTAGGATTGCCACTCTTCCCTGGGAATGTTTTGGGACCACAGTGTATTGTGGTTCTTTTGGCTACTTTAGAGGCAGATCTATCTAGAAGCAGAATGGCCAAGATGCCCTTTCAGCATTGGTAGATTTCAGAGTGAAGAGGCCAAGTGAAGGTGCAGAAGAAAGGAGGAGATCTGGGGACCTAATTCACTTGCAAGGCGGCTGCTTGGGGGAATGGAGCTCGCCCCTCCCCCTCCGCCCCGCCAGCTGTCACATTCAGCCAGTAGCTCCTGTCCTTGTGCCAGGAGTAGAGAGAGCCTCAAGGGTCGCAGCTGGGAGGAGGAGAGAGCTGGACGGTGGGGTCATTTGCACTTACTGGGGGTGGGGGGGGTGCCCAGCCGGTGTCCCTCAATCCTCTTATACACCCTTGGGCAGAGGGGGCAGCTCATATCCCATTCTTGATTCCATTCCTGAAGGCTGCAGCTTCCTCCAGGAATTCATGCTGGTCAGGGGTGTAGGTTAGCCGGGGCTATGCTTTGGGGGCTTCCTGACTGAGGTGGGGTGTTTGGATGGATCTAGAGTCAGAAGGAGGTTTGGTTTGCTTCTAAAATCAGTGCCTGGTGCTTCCTCAGGCTAGCAGGAAATGCTCCAGCATCAGATTAGGCTGGGTGCAGCGGGGAGAACTACACCTCCCAGCATGCAGTGCAGCTGGCCACAGGGAGTGGGAAGGCCTGAGGTCAAACTCTGGGAAGCCCTTCTTTGCAGCTGCAGCAGCTGTGCATCACGTCAGACCATCGGGCAGGGCCTTGTCAAGCTGGAGGAGAACTGAATCCTCCCAGGGGCGCGGATGCAGCTGCCTTCTCACAGACTCTCTCACTCTGCCATTTGCCAGTCGCTGAAAATCACAAATGCCCACAGAACAGCCACGGCTCCCATTTGCACAGACAGTCTCTTGTGTGCCTGCTGGTGCACATTTACTCACTCAGAGGCACACATCCGCACTCACGCCCAGCACACACACCTGCTCCTTCCTTCTCCATGAACCCTGAAACCCCACCACTTGGTTTGAAGATCTCCTGGCCTAAAGGGCAGATCCTGTTACCGTCACCGGAAATGGGACCTGGGACAAACATCTGACCCAGAGGCCTCCCTGCCCTGCTCCCGGGAGCAGCCTGGACACTTTCCTTCTAACACTCCCAGGGGTAGATGCTGGCTCATTGAGCCTCTGTAGTCTGGTCAAGGACATACCTTGGCCTTACCCTCAGAGGGTATTGCCCCAAGGGAGGAGAGGGAGCTGGTTTGTTTTGTGGCCAGCTCTGTGAAACAGCTCCTCAGCATGAGGGCCTCAGAGACAGATTTCTCTAAAGGCCCCAGGCCAGGCTAGGAACGAACACACACACACACACACACACACACACACGCACACGCACACGCACACGCACACGCACACACACACGCACGCACACTCTCTCTCTCTCCCCGATGAGTTTCTCTTCTCTGTTCTCTCATCCCCAGCAGGCTGGGCCTATTGTTTCTCACCAAAACCCTCACCTGTGACCACCTCTACCTGATCCCCTCTACAAAGCTTCCCGAATGCTCAGTCTAAACCATGTGCCTCGTCATCTCTCTTCACTGCTGAGGCCCCTGCAGAGAGAGATGCCGTTGGCCAGTGAGAAAGCCTGGCCGGGGCCTTCCATCCCTGCCCACTCAGCTCCAGACATTTTCTCCCACACACTTCCCCTGCCTGGGAACCCCCACCCTAATGCAACCCCCTCCAGGATCTGGGACCCGAGCAGCCCGTGCCAAAGGTCATCTGTGCAGGCGGGGCCACGGCCCCGCCCCGCACGTCCCTCGCGCCTGTAGGCCCTCTCCTGCCCTCGCCCCAGCTGCTCTTCATTTCCCTCTCCAGATGCGCCCAGGGCGAAGCTATTACCCGAAAGGATGGCCAGAATGAAAAATTAAATTTCCACTTATCCGCCTCACTCAGGCATTCCTGCCAGACCACTGGGGCTTGGAGCACAGGGCAGGTGTGCACCTCGGTGTGGGCCCGGAGAGAATGTGACCGGCACCCACTGCTAGGGGGTGGAGGCCGGTGGGCCGGCCGCTGCTCAGAAATTGCCACAGGAACAGCTCTGTAAAGCCCCGGAGCCCGGCCAGTCCTCCCCGGGGGGAGACCTCCCTTGTACAGCCAGGGTAATGGCGCTAGGGCCCGTCCATGATTCCCTGAGCATCACCCTTGCTTGGCTCCTGCCTAACTGGGCGGTCAACAAGAGTCCCCTTCAGCAAAACTCTTCTCACTGCCCATGCATGTGTCTGTACCCCATCCTACTCTGCACCTGCGCAGAGCACAGTGGGGCACACTGTGTGCCCTTCCAGCTAGAGCCCTGGCAGTCCTGGCTGACAAAGCCACCTAGACTGGTGACGAACCCTGGAGGGCATCCTCCTTCACTGCATCTTCCTGAGTTTTGGGAGGAGGGAGCCCCGACTTTGCTGTCCCAGCCCTGTCTGCGCTGGGCTCTGCTGAGCCCCAGAAGTCTAGCAGGGCCTCGGGCCACCGCACTCCTGCCTGGGAGTGGCAGACATCTATCTGACCCCAGAGGCGTTTCTTGCCTCCTCCCCTGACTGTGCCTTCAGCAGTTTCCCAGAGGGCCTGGGTGGCAGAGAGGCAGAGGTGGGTTGGTGGTTCGTGGTCAGAGGGAAGGAATCCAGGGAGTACCTGCCATTGCAGGTAGTAGAATACCGATTTGGCTTGATCGTTAGAAGCCGGAGATAAGTAAGATTAACTAAGTATTACATACTAGGAGGTGAACACTCGGAGAGGTGAAGGACTTGCTTGAGGCCACACAGTCACACAAGCGGCCGAGTCCATGCTGTCCCTCAGAAGAGGCGCCTCCCCATGGGGGCCATGCTCTCTTATGAGGCCCCCTCACCCTGGTCTGCCCCCTCCAGCCACAGGACCAGAGCTCAGTCACCTTCTAAGCCCTCACTGAGTTTGCTCAAATTTTCTCCAGGAAGGGGCCACAGCGTGTGACTCTAGTCTTCCTGTCCTTGCCAACCTATGGGGGCCCCCAAAGCCTAGTGCTCTGGGGGAGCCCCTCAGCTTTCACCCAACACTTCTACTCCCTGACCAGTCCCAGAGCCAAGGGCAGGGAGGTGAAGAAAACAGCAAATGGCAGGCTAGGCTCGAGGCCAGGCAGCGGAGTGCCCAGCAGCTTCTGGCTGCCCTTTGTGCTGTGGTGCACCCACAAAGGAGGCCCCCTCTCCTGAGACACAGGCTCGGGGCTGTGACTCCTCAGGGCCTGCCTACGCTCTGCACCTGCAGCCCAGGGCCACCGTGTCCAACTTCCTGTATCCTTGAGCCCAGCTTGTGTCTCAGGAAAGTCACCGCCTGTCCATCTCACTGGCATTACATCACTTCCTGTCCTAGGTGGTGCTTGCTATCACTTTCTCACCTTACAACTAGTTTGGGTGTCAATGTTAAAGACGCCCTCTCTTCTGGTTGTGGAGTTGTGATAGCAATTCACCCTTCTATTGGCTTGTTTTGATCTTTCCATTAATAGTGGTAATGACAGAGGCCAAGATAATAATCACAGAGCACGAGCCATTTATTGACAGACTGGTCTGTGCCGGGCACTTGGCCTATATCACGTCTGATTCTAACAACAGCCCTTCCAAGCATGTCATATTATCCACTTTTATAGATGAGGGCTTGTCCAGGTGACACTGTAGCCCATCTGAAATCTCCCCTAGAATATCCTAGACCCTGTACTTATTTGACCCTAAGAGATCAGGGGCCTGAACCTCCCCATCTGCACTGACAGAAAGGAGACAAGGGAAACCCTGGCTTTGAGCGACACCTTCGCTTTCCCTCCAGCTCCCTCCCTACTTGAGGTCATACAACCTTGTCTTCCAGCCCATGTGGGTTTCCTGATGCAGGAGCAGAGCTCCCCCTCAGCTCCCACCCCCACTAAGCCTGCACCCCATGGTTCTGTGGCAGTCCCACAGACAGACTCTTAAGTTCTGCCTCTACCCTCCAAGCTAGTATTTAAGTAAACAGCACCTACTTCTTCCCTCCTGGAGCCTCTTCCTACCTCCCTCTATTTGGGCATCACCTTGACTGTCTCACACACAGCTTTAAAGAGGAAAGAGAAAAGCAAAGCAAGACTGATGGCCACAGTACAAGGGAGAACCAGAGAAGCAAGAAATGGAGACACAAACTTCCTGTAATGACACAACCAAAGAGGGGGCGGGGAGGATGTCGACAGTGGCAGGGGCAGTGGGTGGGGAGAGGCATGGCCGGTGTAGCTCCCTACCTGTGATGTTGACCTCCACCTGGCCTGAGCGGGTGCCGATGGGGTTGGTGGCCTCACAGACATAGGTCCCTGCCAGGCTATAGTTGATAGGTCCTCTGAAGAAGAGGGTTCTGTTCTGGGCCTCCACGCCCTTGGGGAGAGAGCCATTCAGTCTGCGGGGTTGGGAGATATGCGAGGGTTAAGAGCTGACCTGTGCCACCCACCTGGCTCCTCCGGCAGTCTGCTGAGTTAACAGACCCTGAGTTAACAGGCAGGGTCTGTCTCAGAAGGAGTGAAAACGAAAGCAACCAGCATAATCTCTTGCCTTTGGCGATTTTATCATATTCAGCACCAAAATGTATCTGGGATGGGTAGATACTTATCCTACTTTGCAGATGAAGAACTAAAGGTTCTATGACAAGGCAACACCCCTAGGAAGCAGAGGAACTGCAGTTAGTTCTAGAAAAATTAGAGCCCTGGCCACATATTTGGTATTTTGGGCCAGGGCTTTCTCCTGTTCACGCTTCCTGGTCATTGGCCCTTCATTTCCTGGAAACTGGAGAGCAATACAGATGTCTGGATTCTAACTCTAAATCTCCTAAAGCTGAGCCACTGCGGCCACCAGCTTGGAGTCTGTATTTTAACAGGTTACGTAGGTAGTGAGGAATTGTGTTCCATTTCCCTAGCTCATGTCACAGGCCCTTTTCAGGTGGGGAGCACCCTGGAAGTTTCCCAAAGACAAGGGGACTTCTTCCTTCCTCCTGACCCCAATGCCACAAAGCTGTCATTCGTTGGATTCTTGCAGCAACTTGTTCCTACCATTTTTGGCCAAAATTGGCAAGCAGGCCCCACCCCCTTGTACCTTCAGAAGCACTTCTAGTTGGAGGAAGTGGAGGAGAATAGCTGGCTTGGCCAGTGTTCTCAACTTCCTGGAAGAAGAGTGCGTGGATAGATTCTGCTTGTCCAAGGTGACCTTCTTGGTCTCCCCTGTGCTCCCATCTTTCTGGGAAGGACTGTGGCTCAGGCCCTCAGAGCTGGCTGGTAGGGACATGGGACCCCTTGAGGGCCAAGTAAAAGACTGTGAAGCCCAGAGTGGGGTGATGGGAAGAAGGGCCAGTGCTTCAGGAACACGGGCATGCTGGGGCCTCTTCCCTGGGAATTGGGGGGGAGCTAGAGAGAAGGAATGAGAACAAAGAAAGATCTGGGATGCTCCAGAAAGCCAGCCTCCCTGGGGACACCTCGATAAAAATAAATACTGGGGGCTGGGGTGGGAGTGACTCAGAATGAATCACCAAAAGAAATGACAAAATTCTTTATTAGAGAGAAGGGAGGCAGGTCATGAGGGAAGCCCCTCTGGTTTAACAGTTTATTGTATTGACCCTGCCACAGCCCAACACAGGGCTGTATGAAACTGGGGATCTCGTATGGCCCTTCTCCTTCTCACTGAGAAGCCTGAGCCCAGACCCTAACTTCCTCCTGCCTAAGTCTTCTGGAGGTAGACCAGGTGGACCTCCCTGTGGCCAGCAAGCTAACTGTCAGCACTTACGTGGTCCAGTGGTACTCGGTGGCTGGCGGGTTAGCATCAACTTTGCAGGTGAGCTTCACATCCGTCCGCTGCAGGTACCAATTCCCATCAAACCCCTCGATGGTCACTTCGGGCTCATCTATGGGGCAAGGGGTGATGTTTGACAAGGGTGAGGCCAGGCAAGGAAGCCTGGGACAGGGAAGGAATGGAAAGTACAGCCGCACGGAAGAACCCGAAAAAATGGAAGGGTGAGGAGGGTGGAGATCACTAGACCTCAGTGAAAGCAACAAGGAGAGAAAGAATGAGTGAAAGGAGATGAGATGTGGCAGAGATGAGGGGAGGACAAAGCAGCTCTGAAAGAGAACGGGACGGAGAATGCAGGGAGGGGAGTGACAGGAGAGAAGAAACAAAGGCGAGGAGTGGGAGGAACAGGGGTGCCCATCCCTGAAGGCCCCCTCTCTTGAACCAGACACCCGGCCCCGGCTCACACTGCACGTTGAGGGTGAGGCTTTCCCGAAAGCGGTCCATGTGGTAGTTGACGATGCAGGCCAGGGACTGCTGATGGGCTTCCCGGCTGGGGACCAGGCGGTAGCGGCTGATGACCGTCACCGTGCCATTGGGGTTCCGGATCTCCTGGTACTCTGCCTCGCCCTTCAGCCGTGTTTCCCAGGATACCACGCTGGGAGGCTTCCCATTGGCTGATGTGCAGGTGGCCACCAGGACCTTGTCATCTTGCCCCTTCTTGGCTCGAAGCACTGCTTGGGTGCCCTCTATCCAGTTGGTGGGCTTGGCTGTGGGGAACCAAAGAGACCCATGGGACTAGCTCTATCCTCGTCCAAGACGCGAGGGCCCAGGCTTCAAGTCACCCTGGTCATCCTGGTCTGTGGCCATGCTTCACCCAGCCCCCGCCAGCACGTGTGCACACCAGACCTTTGCTCTACCTGCTATTTGTATCCCCTTTGGTCTTCTTGCATCTTGGCAAGCTCGAGGCAGCAGCTCACACGCCAACTTTCCTTACCATAAGGGTCTGATCCTGCTGCCTGCCTCCTGGCCACCCCCAAGAGCCCCCTGAAAAATGAGCCTAGGCTCTGTCTATAGCTGAAGCCCACTCATGATCCTTGGCAAACCGCGGGGCAGCCTGGTGAGAAGGGCCTGGAAGCGCACTGCTTGGAGTGCTGGGAGCATGCCCACCACAGAGAACGCCCGGAGCCACGGAGGATGGCCAGGCCCCTGGGCCACAACCTCGGCAGCAGCGGGGAAGGGGCAGCTTACCCATCACAGTGAGATTAAGCTGACTCTCGCGGTTGCCGGCGGGGAAGGTGGCGAACTCGCAGATGTAGACCCCCTCGTCCTCCAGCTCCAGGCGGGAGAGGCGGATGGTGCCGTCGGTGAAGGAGGGCCGCAGGAACTCCACGCGCTCGCGGTAGGGATTCAGCACCGAGACGCCCATGGCTGGGTTATAGATGGCCACGTTCTGCTTGGAGCCATTGGTGGCCTTCTGCCACGTGACCTGGGTGATCTTCACGCCGGGCAGGGGGTTGGCGAAGTTACAGTGTAGCACCACGTCTGCGCCGATGAAGCCATACATGGAGTCGTTCACCTGAACCACCTGGGTGTGGGTGCCTGGTCAGGGGAGATGAAGGGGAGGTCAGAGCCATGCACGCCCCACCCAACTCCCTGAGTGCCCCCTTTTCGTGCCAGCAGGCATTATTTATTTGACTCTGATAAAAATCACAATCACTTGTTATAAAAAATATCCCAGAAAGCACTGCGAAGTCCTGGGAAGATCCCACAAGTCAGAAACGTCACTGGTAACCCTGTAGGAAGTGTCCTGCTTTACTTCTCTCTCGGTGTCTGTGTGACCACTCATTTTTTTTCCTTTTAGAAATCAGAAACATACTGTACCTATCATCCCACAAATGCCTTTCCACCTGATGGCATGTTGCAGCGTGGCCCTGGGCAAGCAGCTGCACACACCCCTGTTGTGCGTGAGGACAGCCTGAACGCGCTGTTCCCTAGGGAAGCCCAGGCCCGGGGGCCACGGGCTGCTGCCCCTCTGGGCCTCGCTTCCCTCACTTGGTAAATGGCGCCCATAATCCTCAGGGTCTATGATGATAACAAAAGTCAATAGTAAGAAGAGAAATTTCCCCACCGGTTTCCTTATCTTTAATTCAAGGACCCTCTTCTTCCATGCAAATTTGTAACAAATAGAAGATAATCTCATTTCACAAACAACAGAGTTTCCGGGGAACCCATTGTGTGATGGGTGAGAAATTGTGTCAGGAAGCATGTTGGGGGGCGGGAGGGCATTAGGGCCACTCACTGTCTTCTCTCTCATGCTAAGCCCCTGGGGATCTTGGGGCCACAGACTGGGTCAGGCACAGGGCTCAGCCTCCTTGACCTTCATGCTGTCTTCAAAGGCAAGTGTATGTCTTACTGGGCCTCCGATGTCCTTGCCACCCGGTCCTGCCTTCTTGTCCACCTTTCTCCATACACCATGCTTCCCCACCACATCGGGCTGGATCCCTCCTCAGAACAAGCTGTGTTCTCTCCCCCACCAGCCCCCGATTTAATCCATCATTTGCTAAGTCTATCAGCACTCGAGTCACAATCAAGTGACTCCAGTCCCCAGGAGCACAGAGCTTATTGAGGCCACACTTCTAGATTCTTCTCAGGCAGTTCCCTAGTTCTGGAATGCCCTTTTCCTTCTTCACCTGTGGAGACCCCACTCAGGCCAGCTTCCCGGGGGTGCACCCCTGCTCTGCTGTTCCACAGCTTTCTTGCCTTGGAATCTGGTTGTTTGCTCTTTTGACCATCCCACCAGACTATAAAACCCTCCAGGGTGGGTCTGTATCTTTTCCATTGTTTCATCCCCAGGGCCTGCCCAGCACACGGCATACAGTAGGTGCTTACAAAATACTCCTTGCCAAACAGACTGCAACAGAAGCCATGAGAGGGAAGACTTGCAGGGAGGGAGTGATCAGTGGCATCAAATGAATGAAAACACTCCCTTGAGTCTCCCCAGCCATTGTTTTAGTTCATCTAGAATGTCCGAACCCAGTTCAGCCCCTTTAACTTGGGGCAGCAGCCCTGCCGCTCCCGCCCCCCCCAACCCCCCCATCCAAGTGCTGTCCTTGGCCATGTGTTTGTGTACTCCATGTCCTGCGTCCTATTTCACTCAGTAGTTTATTGACTGCCGTCAGTCAGATCAATGCCAAGCCCTGTACTGACGCTGAGGCGGGGGGACGATGACCTATAATGGTCCCTAAGGGGATGGGGTTCGAGAGTGGAGCTCAGGGCTCACAGCTGCCCCTGTATGGTAGAGACCCGGAAGCAGGGCATGAGGGCTCCATGCCCATGGTCACCATCATGTTGACCCTTCCTCCGTCTCTCCATGTCCGCACAGTGTCCTCCTGTGTGTGGCACACGCCAAAGCTTCCCTGATGCTCCTGTCTCCCCTGTGTTCATGTCTACACAGCCCTTCAAGGCCCAAGTGGGGTGTCCCCACCCCTTCTGCTGCTCCCAGTGTTCTGACATCTCCCCAGCACCGCGGGCTCTTGGGAGTAGGCTGGAGAGCAGCCGCTGGGGTCAGCAGGACTGGGCTCCAGTCTGTGATCTGGCGCTCACTTCGGGACCTTGGCCCCCTCCACAGTCCCATCTTCCTCCTCTTTAAAAGAGCAGCGGGGGCTCCCCAATCACAATGGTTCCTTCTGATCCCACTGCCTGGTGTCCTGACCTGCAGCCCAGCTCAGCTGTGGCCACACCCTGGGTACGGCCTCATGGTGAGGTCAGTGGGCCAGACAGCCCGGAACTCCTGCTGACTGGACATCTGGCAAGTGGTGAGGCCCTAGGCCCTTCCCAGCAGGATAATTGGGTGCTCCCTGTCCCTCCTACCCCTCAGCCTCCACTCACCAAGTCTGCTGGAGGCTGCCAGCAGCTGAGATAATGTGGGTATAATTGGGGAACTTTCACCACACAAAGCCAGGAACAGGAAAAGCCAGTTGGGAAGGCTTGGGCTACAGGTGGAGGGTGGGGGGTGGGGTGTGGGCACCGGGAGCCATCCTGGGAATGGTGCCCGGGCATGGTGGGACCTGTAGCGGGACATGGCCCACTGCTGGACCATGCCTGCTGCGACCCTGTCTCCTCTCCACGTGCAGGTGTGGGCGCAGGCAGGGCTCAGAGCCTGGCGCACAGGCTGACACTCATCTGCTGGTCTTCAGCATGATCTCACCCTGCAGGGCTGAGCGTGCCAGCAGGGGAGGTCGCTGACAGTGCCTGGCGCAGGGTGTGGGGCGAGGGCCCCGCTAAGAGCTCAGGTGCCCAGAGACCCTGCCACCCACCAATGCTTCATCAGGTAGGGGCAGCCGTCCCCACCCCCACAACTGCTTTGGGGTTCTCCAGAAGCAACCCCACAATGGTGGTGAAGAAAGTGCCCATGTGTCTTCTCACTGGGTACAGAGCGTGCGCCCCGGCGCTTGCCCCTGGGGCCCCAGGGCGGGAAGATGCTGGGAGCCACTGGACTCATTTTTACCTTGGTTCCTCTGGCTGCAGCATGCCGGCAGGGCAGGCTTGGTGAAGATGCCCTGGGGGGCGGTGGGGCGGCAGCCAAGAGGCGCTCTTGGAACAGTGGGCTCAGGTGAGCATCCCAGAGTTCTGGACCTGGAAGGTGCTAGGGAGATGGAATGCTCTGAAGACATTCCCTCACTTTTCTGGTCCTTAGCCAGTCACCTCGACTCTAGGTTTGGGGACCCAAAGCCCAAGCTTCTGGCTGAGGGCTGACTATCTTGGCCTGTGGATACAACATGGGGAAAGAATGTCCCTTGTTCTTTAGTCTGAAGGTGCTGACAGGTGGGATCAGAATGTTCTAGTTGATAGGGGAGCAGAGCTCACCCCTGAAAAGGGAAAGGGTTGGAGGAGTGCAGGGGTGGTCTGCACTGCACTTCTTGGCTGGTCTGGCTACTTCACCAGCCACTGCAGTCCTGAGACCCCAAAACTGGTACTTTGTGTCTCCCTCGCTACCCAAGAATTGTTCTCTCACCATCCCCTTCAGGCAGTGTGTTGGGTTTGGAAAGCCAGACAGTGTGGTTTGCACTTCCTCCCTGACACTTACGAGCTGTGAAAACTTGGGGGGCAAATGATTTAACCTCTCTGTGGCTCAGTTCACACTGGGCTTGGAGTCTGTACAATGGGATTATAACACCCACACTTGGTAATTCTGTCGTAAGGATAGAGCAGCACTTAACACTGTGCTCAATACAGGTTAGATGCTATCACCACCATCATCCCCATCACCTCTACCAGCATCATCACCATCTTCAGTGTCATCATCACCATCTTCTTCCTCACCCCCACCACGACCATCACCAGCATTTTCCACCTATGCAGCAGTACATCTCCTTTCCTGGAACTTCATTCAACAAATATTTACCAAGCACCTATTTAGCACTAGGCATGCACTGGGTACCGCTTTCAGGAAGCCCTTCCTGATTCTCCTCTCAGTTGACATCACTATTCATTCCAAGGCACACATAGCTTTAGTCTGTCTTTCTTTGTTTCCAGTTCCCTGGCATGTGTGTCTAGGGTGTATTCCCCCAGCTCCCATAGAGTCAGGTCCTTGTGTTTTTGGCAGAGGGATTCCTATACCCGCGGAGATCAAGAGACAGCATCTCTTTCTTTTCCTCGCCTTGGAGGCAAGGACCAGGCTAGGCTTTGGGTTGAGTGGGCCCTGTCTTGGCTGATGCTGACAGGGTCCAGCGCTTATAGAGAGTAGCCATCTGACTTTCTCTGGACCCCCAAGTACTTAGGACTGGTCCACTGAAGTCTCTACTTCTTTTCCATATGGGGAGCAGCAGTGGTTCCAGATGTGGGAACCAAGACCACTAAAGTGGTGGCATATTGGAACTCTGAGCTACTGTTTTATGGAGCAGAACAGGGTCCAGCCTGGCTGGGCCCTTGCCCAGGGACACAGAACAGCAGCACCCCAAGCCAGTGCTCTTCCCTCCCTGCCATCAAAATAGACTCAATCCTTAACCAGCTGCCCAGGGCCCCATTCTGGGTCGTGTCCCTCCTGGAAGGTCACCTCAGTGCCTCCATCCACTGCTCCTTTTGAGAAGCGGTGTGAATGCCAGTCACAATACTGCCACCATAGCACCTGCACTGGGTTAGCAGGTGGGTCTGAAACAGGGGCTTTGTGAACTCAGATGGGAGCACCTGCAAGAGCTACAGAGCAGGCAGGAGCCAGACAGGTGGGGAACTTGTGCCCTTGGCAGAGGGGTTCATATATCCGGGGAGATCAAAAGACAGCGTCTTTTTCCCTGACCTCAGCACTGCCTATATCCTCCCTGGTGATCCTAGAGCTCCAGAGACTAGGCCAGAGGCCTGGGGCCTATGCTCCAGTGCCTCAGTTTCCCCACTAGAACTCAGTTTGGGCAGTTCAGACTGCCTTCATGGCTTCTCAGAAGTGCTGAGCCAACAAGGCAGGCGTCGGCCGGCACCCCCCCCCCCCCCCGACGTCATGGACCTGCAAAAAAGCCCAAGCTCAGCAACAAAACACAAAGGCTCCTCAGTTGTGGCCGACAAACCTGTTCCCCAAGGCCCTGCCCGCCTGCCCTGCCCACCACGGA